CCCGGCGCCCGCCTCCGCCCCGACCTCTTCTCCTTGTCACTCTAGGTCCCCACAGCTTCACCGGCGAGGACTGCGCGGAGTTCCACGTGCACGGCGGCCCGGCCGTGGTGAGCGGCGTCCTGCAGGCCCTGGGTGAGTTCCCGGCTGGGTTCGAGGCCCGGCTCTCCCCGTGGGCCCGGGCGGGGGTCTCAGGACCCACGCGGCCTTCCCTCAGGCAGCGTCCCCGGGCTGCGGCCTGCCGAGGCCGGGGAGTTCACCCGCCGCGCCTTTGCCCATGGGAAGCTGAGCCTGACGGAGGTGGAGGGGCTGGCGGATCTGATCCACGCAGAAACCGAGGCGCAGCGGCGACAAGCTCTGAGACAGCTGGACGGGGAGCTGGGCGAGCTCTGCCACCGCTGGGCAGACACTGTCACCAAGGCAAGCCCCCCAAGACTCCATTTCCCCGTTCCCCACCCTCCAACCTCGTCTTTTGCTGGGGTTGCGGGAGCCCTGGACCAGGCGGTGCCAGCCCTCCCTGTGGTGTACCTGGGCCGGGGGCACATGAGAGACAGCGTGGGGGCTCCTGAGCTGTCCTGATGCCCCCCTAGGCTCTGGCCCACGTGGAGGCCTACATCGACTTTGGGGAGGATGACAACCTGGAGGAGGATGTGCTGGAGCAAGGTGTGTCCTTCGCGTGTCCTGGGGAGGTGGTGGTGGCTGACACTTCAGCTCCCAAGGACCCTTCTGACCCCCTTCCCCACACGCAGCGGACAGTGAACTGCGGGCACTGGAGGCAGCACTGGGCGCCCATCTGCAAGATGCCAGGCGTGGGCAGAGGCTGCGCTCAGGGGCTCACGTGGTGGTTGCTGGACCTCCCAACGCGGGCAAGAGCAGCCTGGTGAACCTACTCAGTATGTCAGAGGTGGGGCAGGGCCTGGGTCTGGGTCTGGGTGAGGCCAGGACAAGGAGGCTGAGCTGTCCAAAGGTCTGTCTGGAAGAGGAGCTCTATGGGTTACCCTGTCCCCTTCCTTCCTCAGGCCAGAAGCCTGTGTCCATCGTGTCCCCAGAGCCGGGAACTACTCGAGACGTGCTAGAGACTGCAGTGGACCTGGCTGGGTTCCCTGTGTTGCTGAGCGACACGGCAGGGCTGTGGGAAGGCGTGGGACCTGTGGAGCAGGAGGGCATCAGACGTGCCCGGGAGAGGTGGGCAGGCAGG